TGACGGAATCTTCAAACTAGATGCTGAAACACTGTTATCAAGTAAGAAGGATGCGCATAAAGAGATCAAAGTTCTAGCTACAACTATAAACCATGAGTCTCAAGCCGAAGAATCTGCCATGTTGACGGTACAAGAGTCCAAGGATCTCTGGCACAAACGCTTGGGTCATCTGAATGTGCAAGGTATGAATCAACTCATGAAAGACTTCAAAAATTATTCAGATTTTTCAGGAGATTCACTGAATTCTTGTGAATTATGTATCCTTGGAAAGCATAGTAAAACGCCTTTTCATATTTCTGAATAGAGAGCAACAAAGAGGTTGGAACTTGTACACTCGGATTTGTGTGGTCCCATGCATGTCTCGTCCATAGGTGGAGCTAGATACTTGCTAACACTAATAGACGATCACAGTAGAATGATTTTTGGATACTTTTTAAAGTCCAAGGATCAAGTTATGTCAACCTTTAAAGAATTTAAGGTTATGATGGATAATCAACTGGGTGAAACCATCAAGTGCATAAGAACGGACAACGGTAAGGAATACATAAACGGAAACTTCGCTGTCTTTCTTAAAGAAAATGGTATTAGACATGAGTTAAGCTGTCCTTACACCCCCCAACAAAATGGGAGGGCAGAACGAGCGAACAGGACTCTAGTAGAAATCGGTCGCTGCTTGATGAACGAGGCTGGTCTGGATCTCTCCTATTGGGGTGAAGCAATAAGCACAGCAATCTACTTGAAAAACTACTGGCCCTGCAAAAGTTTACCAGACAATCAATCTCCGATTGAATTATGGACCAGGAAGAAGATGGACATTAAGCATCTGAAAGTGTTTGGATGTGCCGCTTTTGCTCTCATATCCAAGGAACGTAGGAAGAAGCCTGGAGCCTAAGAGTCAAGAACTGATATTCGTAGGTTATTCTACCGAAACAAAAGGGTATCGTCTAATAGATCCTAAAAATCCAAAAAGAGTGATTATGTCGAGGGATGTACAATTCATAGAATCTAAGTTTCCGATGAAGATTATTTCTAAAGACATTAAGAAACCGAAGGAAGTCTCTGTGCCAATATTCTCCTATGCAGACATTGAGGAGGAGCATGAGCCTATCATCGAAGACATTTCGGAAAACGGCGAAACTGTTCAAGAACAAATTCTTGAAGGAGCTGGGGAAAATGAAGAGGATGACTCTCAAGATGACTCCCAAGATGATTCTTTTCAAGATGCTCAAGAAACCGTTGCAGATCAACCCCAGGAAAAGGATGCGAGAAGATATCCACTTAGAAATAGAACTCCCAAAGAGTACCCTGATTATGTTCTCTATAGTACCTTTATGTCTGAGAATGAACCACTCACTGTCGCTGATGCTATGAAAAGTAACGACAAAGATAAATGGGTTGAAGCTATGAAGAATGAGTATAAGTCATTAAAGGAAAATGATGCATGGGTGCTCACAGATCTTCCAGCAGGGAAGAGAGCTGTAGATAGTAAATGGGTATTCAAAATAAAAAGGGATATGAACGGAAATGTAAACAAATTTAAGGCTAGATTAGTAGCCAAAGGCTGTACACAAAGGCATGGAATCGACTATTCCGAGACTTTTTCTCCTGTTGTTCGAACATCTACCATTCGTCTACTTATGTCTGCAGCAGTGGAAATGGATCTGAAAATAAGACATCTAGATGTTGCTACTGCCTTTTTAAATGGCAATTTGGAAGAAGAAGTTTATATGCGACAACCTGAGGGTTTTGTTGTGGATGGCAAAGAAGAGAAAGTCTGTCTATTAAAAAGGGCTTTATATGGATTAAAGCAGTCGTCTCGAGCATGGTATTCAAAGATAAATGAAGCGCTGATTAAAATTGGTTTCAGGAGATCCAAATGCGAACCATGTGTTTATATTAGAATTGTCGGTAACTCTGTCTGTATCATTGCTTTACACGTGGATGATATGATAATGCTGTATAATTCCAATGATATTTTATCCTATGTACTGAATAAACTAAATTCGAGTTTTCAGGTGAAAGATCTAGGAGACGCTCAACATGTGCTTGGTATGAGTATTCAACAAGGAAATAAAGACGTGCGTCTGGACCAAACCAAATATATAGAGGGCATATTGCGTAGATTTGGGATGTCTGATTGTAAGGCCGCTAAGACTCCTATGGAGACAGGACTTAAGCTCACCAAAGATGAATCTCCCGATGCTTGCGATTCAAGGATTCCGTACCAAACTTTAATTGGCTGTTTACTGTATATTGGTTTATGTACTCGTCCAGACATTATGTATTCCGTTAATTTGTTAAGTCAATTTAACACTTGTTATGGCCAATCTCATTGGCTGGCGGCAAAAAGAGTGCTGATTCGAGTTACCTTAAGGGCACTAAGGATTTTTATCTCAAATTTACTAAGACTGGTGCTGACATTACTGGTTTTGTAGACGCAGATTGGGATTCAGACATTAATGATAGACGTTCATATACCGGATATGTATTCAAAGTTGGAGGAGGTCTAGTCTCTTGGACATGTCGCAAGCAAAAGACTGTCGCTGCCAGTAGTGCTGAGGCTGAATATATGGCACTTTCTGATGGATGCAGAGAAGCTACATTTCTGCAAAACCTTCTATGTGATCTATTTGGAAAATCTTTTTCCGTAGAAGTATACAACGACAGTCAATCCGCTCAAAAGATGGCAACAAATCATATGTTTCATTCCCGCACAAAACATATTGATATTAAGCACCACTATGTTCGCGATGTGATAGAAAAGAAAAGGATTGTATTAAACTATCTACCAACTGAAGATATGTGCGCTGATATTCTGACCAAGAGCTTAAATGGACCGAAGCATTTCAAATGTGTTGAAGAACTAAATTTATGTTCAGTTACTGCGTCCAAAGGACATCCTGATTAAGGAGGAGTGTTAGTGAGATGTCGTTACTCTAGCGTACGTTGGCAGCGCTGTTGCCGACTTATATATTCTGTTTGTCTCTCTCGTATCTCACTAGCATCTGTTGCGTTACGTTGTAATCAGAAGTCCTTGTACAATATCCTTATATTAGAATATATCTAACATAGTATAACTGTGACCTGTAATTACTCGCCCCTAGAACGACTTTACATCAGTTGGAATAACAATAATATCCGTTTATCTAGGACGATCACGAGTGCGCGCACGAGGCTAAAGGCGGGTCCAGACATGTGTCGTATCACCGTATCGTATCGTGATCGCGTATCATGAACAGCTAAGTGTGGACGGTGCGCCGTATCCGTATATCGTATCGTATCTGCGTATCATCTTGATACGCAGATACGATACAAGTATGATCCACTTGGAGTCGGTATATTTTACCGAAACATCAAAGAAATGATACGTGATACGGATACTGTCAGTGTAGACGCGTTTTTGATTCTGACCACTCCATCTGACAAGACAGCATCGCTAATCAGTCGCGTTGCTTCGTGTCTAGCGGTTGCTTGATGTCAGAATGGAGTGGTCGCAAGATAAAATAATTGATTTAATAAATATATATAAAGAAAAATCTATTCTTTGGAGTGCAACAAATCCGCATTATTTTAATCGGTTAAAAAAATGATACATGGGAGGAAATCGCGCGTGACACTGGAAGATCGGTCGAGCATTGCAAAAAGAAGATGGAATATCTTCTTTCTGCTTTAAGGCAACGTGAAATGATACGAACTGTACCAGGTGGAAAACTAAAATAAAGATACGGATATATGATACGGATACGAGCTGAAAACAACACCTTGAGGCGAGTCCAGACATGTGTCGTATCACCGTATCGTATCGTGATCGCCTTTTATCATGATACGGATACGCTGATTATAATGATACGGCAAGGTGTTGTTTTCAGCTCATATCCGTATCATTTATCCGTATCTTTATTTTAGTTTTCCACCTGGTACAGTTCGTATCATTTCACGTTGCCTTAAAGCAGAAAGAAGATATTCCATCTTCTTTTTGCAATGCTCGACCGATCTTCCAGTGTCACGCGCGATTTCCTCCCATGCATCATTTTTTAACCGATTAAAATAATGCGGATTTGTTGCACTCCAAAGAATAGATTTTTCTTTATATATATTTATTAAATCAATTATTTTATCTTGCGACCACTCCATTCTGACATGAAGCAACCGCTAGACACGAAGCAACGCGACTGATTAGCGATGCTGCCTTGTCAGATGGAGTGGTCAGAATCAAAAACGCGTCTACACTGACAGTATCCGTATCACGTATCATTTCTTTGATGTTTCGGTAAAATATACCGACTCCAAGTGGATCATACTTGTATCGTATCTGCGTATCAAGATGATACGCAGATACGATACGATATACGGATACGGCGCACCGTCCACACTTAGCTGTTCATGATACGCGATCACGATACGATACGGTGATACGACACATGTCTGGACCCGCCTTTGCCGTATCATTATAATCAGCGTATCCGTATCATGATAAAAGGCGATCACGATACGATACGGTGATACGACACATGTCTGGACCCGCCTTTATGAGCCGAGTCGTATCGCCAAAGACTTGGGAGGATACTCGCCGCTATTGTTACACTTCACAATCAGTCAGCTGTGGGCCGTCTGGGGGGTGGTTTGGAAAGGTCTCGCGCGTTAAAAAGAGCCCTTTACTTTAGACGACAGTACTGCCTGACGCGACAAGGGTTGTTCGCCCCTCATACGAATTACTTTGCGATAAATAATATTAATCGACACTAATTAACATTAAGAATTAATGCTCGGAGAAAAAGAAATATTTTTGTTAATTATTAAAATCTTTAATGCGATAAGGTTCTCAGGTACGATAAAGGGTCGTCGATCCGCACAATAAAAAGAAAGGGAGGGAAAAAGACGCGAATGCAAGCAACTGATATTCTCTTCTCTCCAAATTTATCGAACAAAGTGATTTAATAGGGTGGTCCAGGAGAGGTAAAATCGTCGCGAGCGAGTCAAACGAGATTGCGATGGGTCCGGAGATAGAATGACAGTGAAATGGAGGATTCTTCGGAACGAGAGAAGAAGAGGCCAGCATTCAACCCGTGGAACGACGCGCGAATTTTAACGCACGTCGCCTCGAACGTCGGTCGAGTGCCTGCGATGTCGTCGCAAACCTACAACCGCAATTCCTCGAACATCGGGGGCGAGAATTATTACAACACCGCCGACCGGGCGTCGTTTGATTATTTAAAAGTTGGCAACGCCATCCCATCGTACTCGGTTAACACCGTGCACCTGCAGAATCCCTACAGGCCGCCCCAACCATTGGAGGAATTCGCGTCCCGCGATCACACAAAGGTAAGATTTAACGCTCGGGAAATCACCGAGATCGTCTACGCACGAACAAGTTCGACTGCCGTGAACAGGACATCGATGCGTATCGCGCAAGTACTGTCAGTCGAAGATAAGACGTGAGTTATACCTAAGGTAAATACGGTAAAATCCTCGATCCAATGGACCTCGATATTTCAGACTTAATGGCCCGGAAAAGTAATATTACGGTAACATTAGGTAATAATTTTTTTTCCGTCTAATCTTATCTAATTATAAAATTATTTATAAAATTATTAATTTAAAAAATTAAATTAATAATAAAAAAAAACACTTGAAGCTGAGGATTTCTCTTCATTTTCAAATACAGAATAAAGACTACTATAATTATGATAAAGTATAGTTTAACTACATTATCAAAAATAAATACGTAAATATATAAATGTTACATATTCTTTATTATAATTTAATAATTTTAGATTGCATATTACTACATATTGTATTAAAAGCTTTTTCTATATTAAAAACAATAAAAAAGGCCTTCTGGGTTATATTCGACTTAAGACTTGATTAACGCACAGATTAAGGGTTTGCGTATCTTGATATAGGCGTAATTGTGTGTAGGATATGTATCGGACACAAGATTTTAGTCTGAGGTCGAGATACAACAACAATCTGTTCGTAAAGAAGAAATCGGCAGTGAACAACAAAAACTACGATCAAGGGAACGAAAAAACGGAAAGGTAATGGTCCCTTTAATTAATTAAATGTCAATAATATGTATTATCTATCTGATCTAGTGTTGCTCCTATTGCTAGATCGAAAACTAAGAAGCATCAAAATCTGACAGAGATCAGTGAGCTTGCCAAGCAGTATTGCTCATACAGCACCCTTCACGGCTTGCGTTACGTCGGTGACTCGGCATTATCATTCGTAGAAAGGTAATCGTAGAAAGTTGTCTGTCAAATAAATCAGGCATAAGAGATCCTTTCGACTTGGACATTCTTTCAAATCTGAGATTTCACACAAAGCAGAGACTTCGTAAAATATAAAATAATTTCCGAACAGTTATCGAGACATAATTTTCATTATGACGGAATCATTGATTTCAAAATATAATATTGTATATCACAGCACGTTATATTTATATTAAAAGAGATACGGACTTGGTTAGGTGAGGCATGGAGGGATGGATGTGCGAGCGTGAGCGGATGGCTTGTAAGATTATTTAAGAGAATATTATAGAGAGGTAGGTAAGTGGTAGATAAGGAAAGTAGGGAGGAGGTCGAGTAGAAGAGATAGAAATGAAGGCGGAAGGAAATAGGCAGAGGAAGAGAGGTAGGATGGATCGAAAAGACGGGCGGGCGAAAAAAGAGGTTAGGTTAGGAAATCAGGCAAAGTATGGTATAAGAAGGCAAAAAAGATGATGGGGAAGGGAACGAAGGATAAACAAAGGAAGTTGGACTTAGAAAGGGATAAGAAAAGTAAAAAGTTAGTTGTGGAAAGATACCGACAACGAGGGCAAGCGAGGTTATAGACATAATAAGAGAGGAAATAAAGCGCGAACTAGAATGCATGGGAATGAAAGATAAAAGAGATAGAGGAAAGGTTAATAACAATAGGAAAATTTATAATAGAACAAAGAGGGATAGACGGAGAAAGGGAAGAGAAAAGAGAAAGAATATTTAAATATGGAGGATAGAGAGGTAGGTGGCGAGGAAGGTAGTAGCATCGCGACAAAAGTAGATTAAGTAAAGGGATAGGAAGCAGGAGAAGTTCAGGTAGGGACGGAAAGGAAAGACAGGATAATCATAAAAGATTGGAAAGTAGAGGGATGGATAGAACAAAGAGGGATAAATAGAGAAAGGGAAGAGGAAAGAGAAAGAGAAGTTAGAGAGGTAGGTGATGATAAAAGAGAAAATAGGGATAAAATAATAAACTCGAGAGGGAAAAATTACTAGGAATGGGAGATGAGGTAGGAGAATATATATTAAAAGGAGCGAAGGAAGGAGATAGATAGGGCGAATTAACAGGAGAGGAAGCTTGATGCGAGAACGGATTAGATAAAATAAACAATTTTAGGATAGAAGAAAGGGTGGACTCGGATCACATGCCCCTGTCGATAGAGATAGGAGACAGAGGGAGGAAGAAAGAAGAGGAAGAAGAAAGAAAAAAGATCTGTAGGAATATAGAAGCAATAGAAATCCACTTCCTGGAATTATTGGAAGGAGTAAGATTGGAGGAAAGAATGGTGACAGAAGAAAGGGAGGAGAATATAAGGAAGGAGAAGGAAGGAGAGGAAGATGAAGGAGAAGAAATTAAAGAAGAGGAAATTGTACGAAAAGGAGGAAGGCTGCAGGGATTGACGGTATACCCAGGGAGGCTTGAATATACGGAGGAATCACGATAAGGAAAGGTCTAGTAGATATAATAAGACAGGTGCGGAGAGAAGGAGTGATTCCTAAAGACTGGGAAACCAGTGAGTCAGTCCAGATCTACAAGAGGGAGACCAGGAGAGGGCCGAAACCTACAGGGACATATATTGTTTTCCCTGTTGGGTACGGCTTACAAGGTGTATGCGGAGGTGCTAAGGAGAAGATTGGAGAAGGAAGTGGAAAGAGAGGAGATATTACCGGAGAGCCAGGTAGGACCGAAGAGGATCACGCGGAGGAATTGCTAACGAGGAAGGAGTAAGGCAGGGGTGTGTGCTGAGTCCAAAATGATGAAAGTCAGGTTTTTAGAGTTAGGTATACAGGGTGCTACGCAACATATTGATTTCCGGTCATGGGAAGGTAGAGGGGACTAAGACAAACAGAAAAGTCCTGTACTATTTTGCGCTTGGACGAATAGTTATCGAGATACGAAATTTAAAAAATCGCCGTATTAGCTCAACCTACTGGCGAATGTAAGCGCGCGGTGAGATGCGTCGGCCTAG